GAAAGATTGAAATTCGAAAGCGCGTCGGGACGGTGAATGGTACGAACGGATAGAAAAATAACACTAGGAACACATAAATGGACTTTGGGATATCTACAGGTTGTGATGTATAAATTGCTGTCTAAATATTGAAAAAATAAAAAATAACACTGACATCTCATTTCAACAGATATATTTATAAAAATTACACAAATACGTAAATTTATCCAATAAAATCGCCATTGGCTTCAACCACAGCTTCCAGACGTCTTCGGAATCTCCTCCATCTCTTCTGGACGGTCTCCTTGTTTAAGTTGATGAATGTTGCCATATTCTTTGTACGTCTTTAGTGTTACAAAATGTTTTGTTGGTCTCTCTCTCAATTACGTCCCACACCTAATAATCAAGAGGGTTGCAGTCTGGGCAATTAGGTGGCAACATGTAAGGCGTGATGTGCTCGGAGAAATTGTCTTACAGCTATGACTGGGTTCTTCTGCTCGTGTGGCATGGTGCAGAGTCCTTTTGCCAGACATAGAGTCTTCTAGCAGCCACCATCTTAACCCAGGGAAGCACTACCTCCTCAAGGCACTTGATGTATGCCTTTGTGGAGTCTGATGCCCTATGGAAAGATGAATGGAGGCATAACGTCGCCAACACAAGTGATCACTCCAAACACCTTCGTAATCACCATTAGACTCATTCAACTTTTTCCGAATCCTCTGAACTGTTCTCAGATTGACACCCAAACACTCTCAAATGTTCGTACTTGAGCTTCCGGTGCGAATGCCAAGCAGTAAAGAATGCTGTTTCCGGATTTCTGGCGGAGTGAATTGCATCATGGTGCTCTTTTTCTCCCAGATGGTGCCCAACTGACTCTAATATACTGTGCAGTCGAGAAAATCCAAAAACAAACAACGCGCATGCGCGAAATTAAAAATATAAAATGGCTACAACTTACCCAACGCATTCTGTACTCTTGTAAATAACAGCGAAAGATTCACGGTTTTGTCATAGATGAAAATAAAAAGAAACGCAGTGAAAGAGATGTAGTTTTACTGACGAATGTTGGAAATACAATGAGAGAAGTATGTTCGAGAAAAGGATATTCTAAAAAGAATAGGAAATATAAGAACCTGTCTGTCTATCTACCTAACGAGCTAGCTACAAGGTTGACAATATTTTTTACAGTATTACAGAAATAAACAAATAAAGAAAAATCAAGCATTAAAAAAACAAACAAAAATGAATTAAAATTGGTTCGATGTGATTGGATGCAACTTTTTCCATTCTTGCACTTGTCCTGGAGTCAATAAATTCTTGAAATATTTACCGTGCCCTTGTCAAAGAATGACATCGTTCCTGGAGGTTCCTCGTATTTAAGACTTTCAATTTCTCGCTGAAACAACTGGAACCGATGAAAAAAAACCCCACATAAACAGCGAAATACTTGGGTGATACTTCTTGAGAATTTCATAGACCATTAAATTCTTCCATTCGTCTATGCAATGAATATTGCTGTCGCATCTGGTCTAGTGCTTCTATTATACATTTAGAAATTCTTGATAAAATTTAAAGAAGAATATGCAATATCGTCGGCTCTGACTTGACATTTTCGGCTTCAGTCACTTTTCGCGTGCCTTTTCTATGAATATCTATTTTTCTGGTGAGTTTTCCTCTTTGGTACCACGACTTTACGAATTTAAGCAAAGTACTAGATTGGCAGCAAGGTCTCATCATTTTACGGTTGAAATGGCTAGATGTAACCGTAGGTTCTACGTTGACAAATTCTTCACTCGAACTTCTTGCTTGTGGATCTCTCTTCCAGTTTTTTGCTTTCAGTCAACTTTGATCTTCAAAAATTTTAAAGCAATGCCAGTCGTTATCATTTGTCATCTTTATTCCTGTTTATTTATTGTTCTTTCTCCTTAATAATGTTCTTTTTTTATATTTTTTCAGACTCAGTAACCCCCTTGCGTCTTAGTGGCTTTATTACCTTGCTTGGGGGCGAAGTGATTTTTCTTTAAGCTTGAATATATAAAGAAAAATCATAGAACATCTTTTTTCCTCGTGCTTTTTATAATAACTAGGAAACGACACTGACTTGAAAAAGAAGAACTAGTTAAAATAAATATTGCCATGTAGAAAAGGAAACCGAGAAGAAAAGACTAATTTCTAATTAAAAGAAAACAAAATAGATATTTGTTACAAGATGCACGTCAGTTTACAGTACCGCCCCAGTGTGTATCTGACTCGCTCTGTTATACTCTATCATTACAAAAATCATATCAACCTTACTTGAACGTCTTGATAGAGTTTAATAGCATCTATGTGGCATTGTGGGTGTTGGCTTATCTTCCACACTACAATCTCTTTTCTCACAGTCACACAGTCGAAACTCTGCTAGACTTTTGTTATTCTACTACTATTTTTATGGTAATAGTTCAAACGAACTACATTTTCACGCGTACACAGAGTTGACTCGTCATCATTTACTTCGTATTTCATTAGCAAGGAAGAAGTTCTTCTTCTCCAGGACTGTTACTTCAGAAAAGAGACTCCCAAGAGGATGCTTCTCCGATAAGTACTAACTTTTATTAATATCAACCGATATCTATTCTACATATCCTTATTTATGCACACCCTCCTATCACGCTCTTGAAATAACCTCACTCGGTAACCCACTAGCTTGAGTGACTCTCGGGTCTTGTATTAGGTGAAAAAGCATGAAAAATGTAAGGACATGGCTATAGGGAATCTCGTTTTTTAGAATTCCGTGTAGACCTAATTGTATAGAGACTCCCAGTCAGCACCTCTATGTTGCCCTAAATCGATATGGTCATGCAAATGGGACTGGTTTAATAATTGTAACCACAGAGATATATTTGGGTTTAGGATCCCACGTTAAGGAATTAGAGACAATGTAAGTAAAAAGGAAACTTAAACTTAACATCAGGAAGAGTCAGTTGAGATTTCTAGGACAAATAACAAGGAAAGTGGGCTTGGAAAATCTGATACTTACAGGTCAGATTGAGGGCAAGAGGGACAGAGGAAAACAATGCATAACATACTTGAGGAACTAGAGTAAATGAATAGCGGAACAAGTTAGCAAAAAGATAAAATTTATTAAGAGCTACAAAGGACAGGAAATTGTGGAGAGCCATGATCGCCTACGCCCTGAGGGGAGACAGCACATAAAGAAGAAGAGGAATACTAGAAGTGCTGAAAAATGTTCGGGCCGACCCACTTTGTACCATAAGGGAACATTAAAAGGGCATTTTGTTGGTCCGAATATTTTACAGCACCCTCTCGTATGAAACTGAATGAATTTAGAAAAAGTCAAAAAAAAAAAAAATAGTAGAGCGATAAACAGAAAGGCAAATAGAAAACGGAGCAGAAATACTCCGAATCAAACTGAAATTCTATCATAAAGGCTGACACAAATTCATAAATAAAGCCGACGAACCAGGAAAGAGAGAGTGAGAGAGGAAGAGAGAGAGAGAGTGAGAGAGGAAGAGAGAGAGAGAGAGAGAAGAAGAGAGAGAGATAATTGTCAGAAAGGCTAAGAAGAAAGTTCCAAGTTATTCTTAAAGATAGACAAGCCACGAGAAAGATTACAAGTGACTGACAGACAGGCAGTCAATTAGATTTCTATGAGCATTTTTTTTTTTTTAGATGGAGATGGCGGGATCGGGCAAGGGAAGCAGGGTTTTGGGACTTTCCATTTGATTTCCTGATCAGATTTTAAGGAATCATTTCTTGCGATGGATTTTCAAAGAAAAAAAAATAACAGAACAATATGCAGAGAAATCTAGTTTAATAGAGAAAAAAATAAAATAAAAAGAACGCAAATATGAAACATGAAAAATAAGCAAAAGAAAACTTTTTATTTAAAAAAAAAAAATGACAAATTATTAGAAAAATGTTTCAAGACGATGTTGAAGTGCATGCTGGGAATGGAACCTTGTTTGATTTTTTTTTTCTCGCAGCCTTTGCATGTAGACACGTGACAAGTGCTTCACACTCACCCACCACTAAGCACTTTTCCCGCGTTTTTTTTTTCACCAATATATATTTTTTTTACTTTCACTTTCATTTTCATTGGGAATCTCTACTTCAGCTTTTCGTTCTGAAATAAATTCTTTTCCTCCAAGAAGATCATACAGTGTTTCTAATATGCAGACGTATAATTATGCATACAACGTACATTGGATTGTATTGCCAAATATATAAATACACGCTTTATCTCTCTCTTTTACACACACTACCCACCTCTCTCTCTATATATATATATATATATATATATATATATATATATATATATATATATATCGTCATCCACAGACAGAGTGTTTTTGCTGTATCACAGGTCATCAGTGGCTAGACATCCGATCCCTTCGGGCGGGGACCGACACCCGACCAATTTGGCATCAGTCGGAGATTCTAACCCCTATGCCATCGACGCCCGGCAGAGAGAAAAAGGGAAATTTTTTTGCGTATTTGAAGAAGGAAATTACTGGAAAGTAATTGAAACTCACCTGAAGCGAGCTGATTCTATAATGCTCCTCATGCCAATGACACTTCCACCGAGCTTCTCTACGGCATATGATTTCACTGAATTTTGATGTGTTCCTCTCGAATTTTAAACTGGGGTCATCAGGAGAGAATGTGCACCGTTTCGGGGCCTTCCTCTCCCATTTTATCATAAACACGCAGGTCACTCAGAGAAATCAATCACTTGGGTTGGTGCATAATTATCAGGCGTTTCTGTGGGCTAGTTATATGTTAATAAAAATTGCTGTTTTGTTTACTTTTTTAATAAAAAAAATATTTTATTTTCAGGTTATAAAAATGTGTGTCGATAATTATACCTATATTCGTTTTTATTATGCTTTACGAAGTCGAAAAAAAGGATTGAAAGCAGTACAGTCATTTTGCGATCCCAAGGAACATTTTGGCGATTGAACAATCAGTAAAAATTGATGCAGGGAATGTTTCGCCCGTTTCAAATCTGGCGACACTAGCTTGGAAGATAAGCCATGAAGAGTTCAACCATCGTGTTACGACGACCAGTGAACTTTTGGCAGCCGTGGAAGAGGACGCAAGCTGGACAACTCAAATGCTGGCCGAAGACTTCAATGTGGACCATTCAACCATCGTTCATCGTCTCAAAAAGCTCGCAAAGGTAGGGAAATTGGCTGGATGGGTCCCTCTCGAACTCTCCGGAAACAATAAAGCCGAACGTGTCCGAATCTTGTCCCTGCGGATGAATCATGGCTTCTCTTGAGAAACGTCAAATTAAAGGTCTGCGTTTCGCCAGGAGTTTCACCAAAAGGAATACCGAAAAAGATGCCCTGTATGAAGGCAATGTGGTTTGTTTGGTTGGACAGAAGCGGAATCATCCATTGGGAAATCATCTCGAACGGGATTTGTTATTGGTAGAATGAGGATGATGAGCGGCAACAGTGGTGGGTTCCAGACAAAAACGGAAAGCGGCAATTCGATATCAACAGCGATGTCTATCTGGCTCAACTTGACCGCCTTCACGTTGCAATCGAGACGAAAAGACCGCGCAAAAAGAACCATATCGTCTTCCACCACGATCATGCGCGTCCACATGTCGAGCGTCGAGTTGTCGAATGTATCGTCACTAAGGGCTGGGAACTGCTTCCACATCCGCTATATTCTCCCACAGAAACTCCTACGGGCTATCACGTCAATCGATCGCTGCAAAATTGGCAGATGAACAAAAGTTTATGCCGATTTGGATAACATGGTGGCCGATGTCAAAGCATGGATTGCCTCCAAGAACCGTGATTTCTTTGCTCGTGGAATCGACCACCTTACAAGCAAATGGGAAGCAGTTATCGAATTAAATGGTGACTACGCTTCGGAATAATCATTTACAAATGTTACTGTTGAATTGTTATGCTTTTTTCCATAATAATCATTATTTAAAAAATGCCTGATAATTATGCACAAAACCAATATATATATATATATATATATATATATATATATATATATATATATATATATATATATATATATATATATATATATATATATATATATATATATATATATATATAAAACTAATATAGATTGTTGTATACGGAATAAATTCCAATAACCAACAAATTCTACTCCTAAAAGAGTGCTCAATACAGAGTAGAGCAAATATAATTATTCATTCGAAAATTATAACATAAATATGTTATAAAATCACTACAGAAATACCTATTTTGTGTCAATACTTTGAAAATATATCAAGTGATGATGTTGATTTGCAGAATAAAGGAAACCCTTTATTCTGCATTCAACATCATGATAAGATACCATATATATATATAATATATATATATATATATATATATATATATATATATATATATATATATATATAATTATTAAAATTTAATTGAATTAAAGTAACGGTAAAAGTAAAGTAGATTCCTGAATTTTCGCTTGAGAATGAAACAGAGCTTGTTAATTTAATTTAATTTAATTTAATTTTAATAATTATATTGGTGGTTTCAGCTCTCTCTTATGCAGAGAAGGAATCATATTTTTTTAAAAAAAACTCTGTTTATAATAAACAGTATTAACAACATTTACCAGTCGGAATGTGCGAGAAATTTTCATAAAAAGTATGCGTCCTCCGACAGGAATCGAACATGTACCCTATACGGAACCGTCATATAGCCTGACGTAGCTTAACCGATTGGCCCACAGAGGAGAGTTCGGCTAGCAAAGTCGATTTTACTATTTTTAAACACAATTCTGAATAATTTTCTCTCATTCTTTCATATCTGCTCAATGCGTATCCAAATGTAAACAAATGACGTCATACATTATGAAATGGACAAAGTCCGACAATTATTTTAAAGACATTTTTTCTGTTTATACGTTCTTTTTATAGATACAAATATTTAAGTAAATGCTTAAGTATTTAAATATTTAAGTAAATTTACCGGCCTGAATGTCCGAGAAATTTCTCGGACATTCAGGCCAGTAAATGTTATTAATACTGTTTATTATAAACAGAGCATTTACTTAAATATTTGTATCTATAAAAAGAACATCTAAACATTAAAAAGTCTTAAAAAATTGTTTTACTTTGTCCATTTTATAATGTATATATATAAGTGTGTGTGTGTGTCTGTGTGTGTCTGTGTGTGTTGTGTGTATAAGGTATATTTGGGCCGCAATCTTTTTTTTTATTATTATAGGTGGTATAAAGCCCAATAAGATTTCTTTGTTGTTATTTCCTATTAACTTTTTCCTCCATTCTGACGAATTGGTTGGTGTCAGGGTATTGTATTGTCCGAATGCTATTCGTTTTTAGGTTTCATAAGCCATTTTCAAACAAAATTTATTTGTTATTTTTAATATCAAGATTTCAGGTGGTAATTTTTTGTGATGTCAAAGAACACTCGTTACCACTTTTGTGATGCCAACGAATACTCGTTGTCGCTTTCGTAATGCTCGTTGTAGTGGAGACTTTGTAATCACAGATACAACTATAGTAACGCCGTTGAACAATACTGATGTCAGACGCCTTCGAATAACACTCACACTAATAGTACTTGCTCGATAATACTAGCTCGAATAGTAACCACCGAATAGAGAAATAGTATAGTGAATTGAGTAGAGAATAGCGGTCCGTATAGTGATAGAGTAGAAACGCAGATCCGAATAGTAACAGAAGATAGAATAAAAATGGCGATCGATCTAGACATCACGCGACTTCCTATATACGCGTTTCCTCTATAGTCACGTGATCAAACTTATTGAATAATGGGATCACCTGTGTTTTGCTCACTGGCGATCTATGTTCAAACCAAAGTATCGGCAGCGACACTTTATTCCTATATAACAAATTTACTGTGAAATTATTGATTTATTTTTTACTCGTTAGATATATCTGTCCCTAAATTAAATGAAATGTCGGGAGTGGATTATTTTTATGGTTAATAATTCTTGTATTTCTAATCATTTTTTTTTTATAATTTGTTGCAGAAAACGTTTGTATTATCTATAATTTGTGTATTTGTCTAATTACTTTGATTTTTTTTCATTTCATTCCATGGCGATGTGCAAATCTAATCGAGAGATTATCAGATAAATAGCAAATTAGTCTACGGGTTAATGCAATAATAGTGTAGTCTAATTTCTTTATCTAATCCATTGTTTGGGAAATTAATGTTGCTAAGTGTTTTATATATTTTTATGAGCATTATAAAATATTACATTTGAAGAACTAATTAAAATTGCTCTCTTCATTTAATTATAGTAGCTAATCTGTGTCTACACTTATCATTATAGTTAATTAAACACGGTTGTGTATTTATTGGTTTTTCTTTTCATAAATGGAATTTTCAAAATTACTATTATTATTTGAATCGCTTACTATATCTAAACACGGAATTATTTATTACTGACATTATGTTCTTGTGTGAATTTAAAAACGGAATTATTTTCGATAATTTCATTTAAATTTCTTCTACGATCAGTCAATTTTACAACATGTCAACCCTTGCTAGGTTTCTGTTGTGGAGTGATTTCGCAGTGGATGCTTGTATTTGTACTAAATCGGTCCTAAAATAGGTTCGATGTACAAAACGTTAGGAACTTGATAAAATAGGTATTACGCAGAGTAATCTAGTTGTGGTCGCTGATACTTTCGTATTCGACTAACTGTCGTCCGACATCGACTGCCTGACCGACCGACTGACTCGTTAGTCTTACTACTCCTAAGTGGGAGAGTCTATTACCTATAGAATAGGTGTGTTCCACTATAACAGTTTCGTAAAGTCGGGATACACCTCGTGAGAATCAAAGTTATTATTTAGTAGAAAGGGTTAATTAAATTTATCTCATTAACCATTATTCACCCCGAGGCATCTAGAATTAACAGTTGGTTGTTTGATTGTTTTTTGCTTATTAAACAGTATGTTTCTTTATTTTTGTCGACATTTTTTTGGGAAATTAGTTTTATTTACGTTTGGACACGAAACTTTAGAGAAACGAAAAATTTCTGGAGATGAGAGAAATTTCGCTTGATGGTAAAATTTCGAACTTGCTTCAGCGATTTTTTTTTTTTAATTTTTTTTTTTTGAGCTCTGTTGGTTATATAACACTAGCTCCCTGTAACGGCAAGATTATATAACTGAAACATATATTAAATTAGAAAAAAAATTAAATTGAAAATTTTCAATGTCCCCCGTTTCCTTTGTGCGCATGTGTAAACGCATGAGCATAAACCTAATATTAGTTTGATAAAGGTTCTAAAAGACGAAACGGAATCTTTTTTCCACTTTGTCAGACTTCTTTCTCCTAAGATGTATTATTCGTATAATATATTAAAGACAGCAGACATTTTGTACCGGTTAATTTTATTGATCGACTTTTCCAAATTATGAATAATTCTTCTCAGATAAGGAGGACATTTCATCAGAAATTGTCCAAAGTTTATTTCAATAGATACAGTGATAACAACATTTGCCTTAAAGAAAATTTTCTGCCTAAATATAAAGAAAAAAAAATTAAACGTTCATTATATATATACACACACACACACATATATATATATATATATATATATATATTTATATATATATATATATATAATTATTTATTTAAAATATAATTATTTATTTAAAAATATTATAATTATTTATTTAAAAATATGATTATAAGAATAATATATATATATATATATATATATATATATATATATATATATATATATATATATATATATATATTATTAATAGAAATCTTTTAAGTATAGGAAACTATACTGTTAAAAAATATTATAATTATTTATTTAAAAAATATGATTCCAAAACGGTGTCTATATATTATATATATATATATATATATATATATATATATATGGATATATATATATATATATATATATAATATATATATATATATATATATATATATATATATATATATATTATTATTATTAAATTAATAGAAATCGTATAGGAAACTATACTGTTCGAAAACCTTAGGTGTCTTGATTTGAAAAAAATTAAACCAATACCAAAGGGGAAAAAAGGTATAAAAAAGAAAGAACCAAGGACATGTACGTTGACTGAAAATAATCGTCTAGCATGCAAGTCCAAAGTCCAGAGAAAAAACCCCGATACGAGTAGGCAAAATAACTAAATAATGTGCTCGATACAGTAAGTAGAGCAGACCTAGTTAACCTTAGAGAGCCAGACAAACCTACCAAGGTTTGATAAGGATATGATCTTCAGGGAATATATATATATATATATATATATATATATATATATATATATATATCGATTATCTCGTCACTTGAATTGTCTGAAAATTGTGAGGCAGACACATAATTATCTAGGTGTCCACATAAAATTTAAGTCGGGGAAAGGCATTAATATTTGAGTATTGCTCTCTCTCTCTTTCTCTCTCTCTCTGTATATATATATATATATATATATATGAGAGAGATCAATCAGAATAGGATCCTAACCTTTGTACCGTGTCGAGAGTGCAAACATCTTTTATAGCAAATAGGTCGTCTACATAGTGGGTATAAATTATTGGTTTGGTATATATTTTAAAGATTTAATTTTCTAGATTTAATATTTTGGAATTGTTGAAGCTAAAGGTGAATCCATATTGATCATATCAGTTTGCTTAAATATATTTTCTAAATGGGAATATAAAGG